GGGGGGGGCGAGTCGGTAATTGTTATAGAGAATGTGTTTTACGTGAGATACACGAGTGGTGCGCGGCGAGCGGGCAAATGAAATGAATGAATGGGGGAAAAAACTCACTCAGGAGGCGCTCACTTCCTTCCTGTTGTGCGTGCGGGACCCGGGCCGCATCGAGGCGGCGAGGCAACGGCTAGGGATGCCGTTTCGTCAGATTCCGCGCGCGGATGTTTTGGGCAGATACTGTACAATGAATTTCAAGCTCCTCCAGGTGAGGCTGCTTCGCTTTTGGCGCGCTCGTTAAAAGCTCTTCACATGCGATAGGGTTGTTGAGCCTTTGTGTCCAGCGCTAGCGGTCACCCAGCAGTCGTTTTCGTGTGACTTGCTCGAGAACTCTTTTCGGACCGCTATTTTGTTATTCTGAGGTCCAACTGTCGGGTCGATTGATGGATGCTACAACCGCTCCTCCCAACGGGAAATCACGAGGAAAGGCACGAGTTTAGGGATGGGAACCCTGTCTCGTAGTCCCCGGTCGCCCCAAAGAGACGCCCTCGCACCGCGACCGCGACGCCCCACGGGAACGGAAGACACCGGCTGTCGTCAAACAGCACAATGCTTCGTACACGTAGAGAGTTCTAAGAGTCCAAAGATAAGCATTCTCAATGCAGAATTTAACATTTTTAGACCGCTAAAATCTACCTTTCAAAACAAAAAAAGGACAACATTGGTCTGCCCAGTCGTTACGCTCATTCGTGCGGAAAACGCGAAGCTTCCTCCCTCTAGCACTGCGGGGGCGAGCGCAGCAAACCGATACCGCATAGAGCGCCCTTTCTTATTTGAGAAAAAAGGGGTGCGGCGATTCCAATGCAAAAAAGCCCCCCCCCCCTTTCCTAGATACTCTGCTGCGAATACGTAGCCAGTATGCTAATGAAGGACAAGACTTTGATGTTTGACTGATGTGCCGCTTTTGTGTGTCGAATCGTGAGGAGGGCGGGTTCGGTTGGATTTCACACCCCCGTATGCCCCCCCCTCCACCTACCGGCGCATCGGTGTTCCAGAGATACGAGCCGAATACGAAAAGTAAAGCTTGAATCGTACCGTTGGATGAGAGGAGCGTGTGTAATCACCTCCATCGTTGCGAGTGACGTTGGGTTTTGTCTCAGCTCCTCGTACAATTAAGCGGCGGTTAACGCTCTCAGAGGTCAGGGCGCTCGAGTGTCGGAGGGGAACAGTGTGGTGGGACCGCAACCGCGCCCGCCGCATCGGGGGCCACCATTTGTTCGAGCGTTTCAGTTTCTTTTGCACACGAACGACAAACAAAAGCAAAACAAAACACTATTAAGAAAAAGAAAAAGAAACGGTGAAAACGGGAAAAGAGTGAGTTATGCTAACTTGCCACAAGTTATGGCGCGTGGAAAGGAATACATAGGCCTCGCACTCTGCGGCGATAGCGCCCTGATAAGAATCGCTGATACGGCAGGTGGGGTTGCCTGCCGTGGGCCATTCGTAGCAGAGCACGCCGAGATGCCTCCCCGCGGGCTGGTCCTCGCGGCGGCGCTCGCCGTCTGGGGAGTCCCGTCATCCGCACAGGGTGAGTGTTTGGCAGGGCACGACCGGCACGACGCGGCAAGACGTAAAGTACTCGAGGACGGCGTACAGACGAAAACACGCTCGCCTTTTTATTGATATATTTCGTCAGAATACAACATGCGAACTTACGAACAGCAACATATCATACTTTGGTGCGTGATTTCTTTATTCCAGTTCCTGATCTCAGTCAGTTTACTTGGAAATCGCACTGCATTAAGCTGTCGGGTATTATTTCAATCAACGACGCGAAGGTGAGGTTAATGAACTTTTGAGTTGAAGTCCACTACTGATCACCCCGTGAATGAATTTATCCTATTTTAGGGATCAGATAAAACCAGCGTACCGCCGCCGCCTGGCAGTAAATTCGAAGCTTGGTGTAACGACGATGGCGCCACTGCGTCGTTATCTTGGAATGAAGAAGAGTTAAATATATTCATATCCATAGAGAAAGGAGAGGAAAATTTAAACAGAACAAAGTTTAATATATATCAATTTCAATATTTACAAAGAGATTCCCAGGGTATGCTATTGCTTATTAGGATTTGAGGATTTTACCAGTGGAAACTAATGTGGTTCGTATTTCAGGCGTGGCGAGTTGTGAGCTGATCGCGACGCCTCAGGGATATAGAAGTTATGTTGATGGTGGGATGTTTTGCAATACAACCCTGCCCATGATCCCTTACAACAGCACCATGACTACGACTACTTTAAAGATGGACGTTCCGACGACAGCCAGCTCCACCCAGGCAGAGACGGGCACCCAGATATCTCGTATTGAGAGAGACCTTTCAGAAGGAGGCAGTACGGAGCCATCGATTCACGAGGTCACCATATCAGGTTGTGATTTAGAAGCTACTCTAAATCTTGCTTCTTTTACTATCATCCTCAAAAGATATGACGCGGATATTGATCAGCAACCAAAGTTTGGTATGTATAGACCATAAGAAGAAGGTTCCCCTTCCGTACAGTGCAGGAATTCTTTGTAAGCTAACCAAAGGTTTTGATGTTTGTATTCCATATTGTTCACAGTAAGCACGTGTCTGGTACAGCCCGATATTACTCTCATCACATCTATCTCTGGTGTTGTTACTGGGGTGATTCTCTTCGGTGCGGCGATGCTCGCAGTAAACGTCCACTGCAAGTAATCTACAACATTTTCGCCATACATGGGCAATGGGCATTAGAAAAACAAAGGTGGGAGTCAAAGCGACACCTTAGACTAAAAGGCACGCAGTTCATCCGCCCGTTCCCGTTTCGAAAAGCAGGCAGTTCAGCGGCGCGTTTCGAGAGACACGCAAGTTTACCGCTCTAGAGATAGGAACTGCGTGCCTTTCGAAACGCGCGACTGAACTGCGTGTCTTTTCGAAACGCGCGGGTGAATTGCGTGCTTTTTAGTCTAAGGTATCGAAAGGGTTTCGATGCATTTACAAAGGCATTAAAAAATAGCACTCCTGCAAAGGCAATAAAACTGCCGAAATCTGTTAAAATTTGATGCCTTCGGAGACTTTTGTACCTTTAAAAAGGCATTGAAATTAGACAGCCCTTGAAAGGCATTAAGTCCTACCATTGTTTTTCCAGTGCAAGTTTAAAAGAAAAAAGATGCAAATAAATGTGCTTTCTGGTAAACCTTGGGATAATTTTATTTCATCCAAATATTTTGATTTCTGATCTACAAAATGCGCGACTAGGAAGAGTGCGAAATATTGCTGCATGTCAAAGAGTTAGGGGGCGCGGTTTTGGCGCACGCAGCCACGTGAAGCATCTTCGAAAGGCAATAATAGCCACTCCCATCAAGGAAAGCGATCCCATCGCGATGCCAGCTATTAAGACGCCATTTATTGAAGGATCGCCGCCGTTAGTCATGTCAGCCTCTGGGAGAGGACTGCCGCATGTGAAAGCTAAGACAAATTAAAATGAATAAGTTGCTTCGGCATTCATATAAATCATACCTAGTACATTTAACTGGATTGCGAACTTACATGGAGTCTCCGGATATCTGCAACTGTTTTGAATAAATGCAGCTATTTTTATATTTTTTAGTGTAAGTATAGAATTTTCATGCAGAGTGAAATTTTCGCCGCCTGGACATTCATATGCGTAACCATTCGGTGTGACCCAGAGTCGAAGGCCGCTCAGGTCCGCATAATATTGAATACCTAGAAAAAACAGATACTATGTACTGCCGACAACAACAAATAAGTTTATTAGTGCATTAGTTGCGACATACCGAGTTTGTCCAGCCTAAAACTAATAAAAACTCTATTTAAAAAATACGTCAAATTGGTTTGTTTAAAATAAAAAATCAGCTCGTTAGTACCCGTTGGATTAACTACCGGTTCAGCGCCACGCTTAGATCTGGAATTGTTTAAGACTCGTACTGAATTTGGACCTAAAATTGCCGTTCCAGGGCCACTTTTAGAATCTTCAGGTACAATAGGAAATATTTCTTCACTTTTAGTCATCACGTTTGTTGAGACTTCGGTAGAGGTTGACACTGATGAGTGCAGTTCTGTTTCTTTCGTAAGTTCTGTAGTACTTGAGGGATGGAAGGTAGACGTTGTGGTGAAAGTTGTTAAGTCTGTCTTGGTCTCCACGGAAGATTTTTCTGTTAGAAAAGACGGTAAAGATGTCATAGGAAATAAACCAGTTGCGTCAGAAAACGTTTCCGTACTTAAAGTGTCCTCCGTAAAAATTTGCGACACCAATGTTGTATCAGTTTCCCCAGTAGCTGTAATCGTAGAAGTTTGAGTTGAGGTTTCACTTGAGACTGTCTCTTGAATAAAATCAGTAGTTGTTGTCGTTGGGGTGGTAAAGTAAGTTTCTGCAAGGGTACTTTCCACAGGTGTCGTAGAAATCACATTAATGGTATTTGTCACTGTGAACGTGCTACTCGTATCAGTTTTAGTACCGTCTGTAGTACCTTTAGTGGTTGTGTCTGTTGGGGTTGTTAAGTCTGTTGTTCTCGTCCTGGTACTATACGTAGAAGTAATTTCTTCAGAGGTAGCCTCCATTGTCGACTTGCTGGATGTTTCAGTAGTAGAAGTTGGTTCAGTCGTAAAAAATGCACTGTTATCGAGGAATCGTTTTGAAGACGTTACTGACGTTACTGGCGTTTCTGTATTTTCTGGCGTTACTGGCGTTATTTTAGTCGTGGCTGCAAGTAAAAGAAAATTAAGCTATCAATATCTACTCAGTTTATAACAGTTAAAAACAAACTGTGCCCAAACACATACGGTCGTCTGGCGGCATCCAAAGTACCAGCACTTTTTGTATCGTTTTGCTCGGATTGCTGCAGTCGATAGATATGAGTGCTCCGTCCGGCATAAGCATTTCCGGTTCATTCTGGAAGATTCCGATTTTTCGTTGTAGACAAAATTCGTACAACTATTTTAAATTCATACCGGTAAGTTAAGAAATAACATTATTATCATTACTATTCCACACCTGACCCTCGGACGAAACGGTGAGATGTGCGGAGAACTTTAGATGAGTGCCCATGTATTGGCATAGATTACATTCATTGTTACCAGGCCCATCGAGTTCCGCAAAAAAAGCTGAAACAGAAATCCGTTTTGCCAAAGAAACCGAGATGCAAAATAGAATCTAAGTCCCCCACACTTACTTACGTATTGGCAGCAGAAGGAGCACGAGTAAGTGTATTAACATGGTACGCGGCCCGTGAGGGCCCAGTGGGCACTCGGCCTCTTCGGCACAGAGAGGCCGCACTTCACCCCGCGCACTGCACGCAGCTCGGCTGTCAAGGCTCGACTGGGCAGCCCCAAGCGCGCGCGCGCCCGCCGCACCGCGGGGCGGCACAGTGTTGATGTCATTGCAGTGCACTCGTCAGAACGGAACTGGGCTCGCCGATAAAACTCCGCACATAACGAGGAGACTTTATTCGGGTGATCAGAGACTCTATTCGATAAAGTCAATTGGTGAAATCCGGTGAAGTCGACAATCCGATTTATACAACCAGGAGTTACTTTTACCACGATCGGTCACTTGGACGATGACAACAAAGGGGTGCTGTGCTTTCAATTGACAGTGCAAACACCGCTCAAACCCGTAGTTCGATCCAACACGCGCCGTTCTGAGTACATATCACACCGTCCACCATATCCCCGCTCCCCTTCACATGAACAGAGCAACTCTGTGGATGCTCGCTCCAGCGCGACGGCACCGCCGTTGGCTCAGAAGAGGCCTCGTCAGAGGCAGTCAGAGGCGCAGGGCGCCTGCTGGAGGCCCAACGAACGAGTTCACGGGAAAGAAATAATTTGTCGGGATGTCGATAGGCAAAGTACACAGCTGAAATTAATCGAGATTCGATCACAAACATGAGATTTGATACGTCCGTGTACACCCCCAGAAATTATTGGCAATGGCGACCATCGTATGGTTGGCTCAGGGAGCACCATAAAATATATGAATATACCATATTTGTAGTTTTTACAACCATTTTAAGGTTGCATCAACCATATTTTATAGTGATCCCTGCATCAACAATACGATGGCCGCGACAGCTAAGCCTTTTCCTTATTGAACAGGGTTGGGCAGTTGATTACCAGGTTAAAGCTGCTCCCCCCCACCCCCATGTCAAAATTCGTCAGCACTCGTCACCAGCGTCACCGCGAGGGGCGAAGAGGGCAAGGGGGGGGGGGGCACAGAGCGCGATGCGGGGCAAACACCAGATATCGTCCAAAGGACTGATCGATTGCCCGGTGCAACAGATGGGCGGAAACTGAGCCAGTCACTATCACGACTGCGCGCAGCAATAACAAATAAAGTTCATTCCGACAATGAGAGAGCCGGCCGAGTAATGCAAGGAGAAATAAAGTTTTAAGCAGTGGCGGGGCGGGGCGGGGCGGGGCGGGGCGTCGCCATTCGTGGACCGCGCCGCAGGGGGCCTCCCCGCTGCACATCGCGTTATCCCCGCGTCATTTCCGTCCTTTCGGGCGCGTGTTTTCGGGCACGCCTCGCTGGTTCGGCCGCTGATCGTGTTTGACTTTTGCGGAAACGCACACGTCCAACCCCGTTTGTTCGGAACGCCACTCGCCCGTGCCCCCCCCCCCTCCCCCGGCCTCGGAAGCTCGATCTACGCACACCCAAATGGTGGCGATATTCAGCTTTGGTCTTCCCTACTGTCGGCAGTGACCGCCTGGCAGTGCAGTGTCACTCGCACCATGTATACGCAAGGTTGTCAGGTTCTTGTTATCGTTCCCGCCCAATTTACCCCAAAACAAAGTTTCTCTAGGCTGGGCACGGTCTAGCAGTTCTAGAGTATTTCTTTCTCCAGCAAGTATTTCAGAGAACACGTGGGACGTGTGTGGAATCTCCACCCTCAGCATGCTGCGGCAGTTGCCTGACAGCGAAGCAGTCTTTTGTTTCACAGGATATCGATTCCATTTCCCGTCTGGTGGACCCTAATCCGGCCCCTGTGCTCTCCCTCCTCCCCCTTCTGTGTCTTTCGGTCTCTTCGGGGTTTTTTGTTTTTTTCGCGCCGCAACGGGCGTGAAAACGATCGGAATCAATTAGGGGCCTATACGTGCCATATGGCGAGGCGCGCCGAGCCTCGCCAGGGGTGTGTGTATTTATTCAGAGGGGGCCTTACTGATGGCGATTCTCGCGCAGAGAAAGAGAGAGAGAGAGAGAGAGGCTCCGTCTACGCCCCGCCCTGGGCGACTGGACGCAGGCGAAGGGGTGCTGCTGCAAACATTTATCATCGTGCCCTGCCCGTCGGCTTAGCTCCCGCCCCCGGCCAGCTTGCACCCGGAGTTTGATTAGGGTGAGAATTACAAGAAAGCCTGCTGTGCTGTGCTGGGCTGGGCGAGCGCGTGCCGCCGCGCCTCCTGCGGCCGCCCCGTCCCAACCCCTTCTCCTCCCTCCTGCTCCGCATCTTCCTCCCGCTCCTCTGCTTCCAGGACGGCGCGGCCGTATAGCACGACCCCCCCGAGGGTGGGGGCGGGGGCACCATCTGCCATGACGGGGAGGGCTCGGCGCCCAGGCCGAGGCCCATAGGCGGCCGGTGTACCGGGGCGGGGTCAGAGGTGGACTGGGGAGCGCCCTTGCTGCTCTCCTCAGTCCATGGCAATCATAATCCATCATGATGACGCCACACAGCTTTTTGTTCACCGTGCGTTTATCTTTTTCTCCTTTTCCTCCCCATTTCCCCTACTCGTTTGATTAACCCTCTCGCCTAATGTGGCCGACAGGAAGTGGACGACGGGCAGCGCAGGCTGCCCCCCCCCCCCCCCCTCAGGAACCGCGGCGGCCGCGCCCCGCGTTGACCGCACGAACAAAAGGGACCCCCGCGCATGTCTCACAATCAGCGCGGAGCATTACTCTAACATGAAAGACATCGATCCGGAAAAACACACCGCAATCTGGCTAAGGCGCGCGCACTGCTCTGTCGATAATTACATGAAATTATTGGCAGCGACATAATCCCCGTCCAGTTCCTTTCCGTCGCGTGCGCTGCGGCGGCGGCGGCGGCTGCGGCTGCGGCCGGGAGCTGTTCTCTTTGTGCTAACGTCGTGTGTGTTTTTTAATAATAATAAAGGGGAGCAATGACGGCGAATGGCGCCGAATGCACGAAAGAGCCGCGGGGCAAAGCGCGCCGTTCTGGACTGGGAGAGAGAGATTTGGGGGAGGGGGGGGGAGAAAGGCGGGGACGTCAAACGCAAGGCAGGGCAGGACAGCAGTAACAAGAGGCCGGCAACAAGGGGGTAGCTGCAAATTAACAATGTTATACACCCCCCCCCCTCTCTGTCTCCAAGAAAAAACAAGCTGTGTTTTTGTTTTTATTACATTTTCCTTGTACTTGATTTCCTAGAGTTCATTGCGTTTCTTTGCATGGGCATCTCAGTGGAGATTTGCCTACGTCCTTTGTTCGAATGGCGCCATGGCCTATGCATGCAAATGCAGGCGCTCTGCAGGCCTGGCGAAACAGTAAGTATGCAATCAGTCCAGCAACGTTAGAGCACATTCGAAGAAACACCTGGACACGAAAAATGTTGGCTTTGGCGGAAGTTTGGTTGACATGAGTGCGCGGTCGTGCCGTGTCGCGTCGCGAGCACTCTTGCTGCTGGCTCGAGTCGGCAGCCCTCCTCACCCGCGCGGGCGGTGGACGTGGACCCCCCGCACCCGGTCCGCCGCGGAGCCCTGCCGTGCCCCGCGGGCCTCCCGGGCCAGGACAGGCCAGGCCGTCCGCGGTGTCACCCAAGCCTCATTATTAGCTCCATTCTGCGGCCATGATATGTTGTGAATGCGCCAAAAGGGTTGCGATTACCCTAATTACAGGCTGGGCTGGGTGCGCGGCGTAGAGGACAAGGGTGCCCCTGGCGCGGCGGAGCGGGCGGCGACCGCGCGCGCGTCAAACGCAACTCTGCAAAAAATAAAGAGGTGGAGAACAAAAAGCTAATGCTGCGGTTGGGCGAATGTTCCTTTGTCGACGACAAGATCATCTGGACGACTAACATACTATACACAACATCGCAGTCAGTTACGCCCGGGGTGGGTTTTACATACGGCGACCATCACGATGGAGACCGTTTGTGGCAGGGCAGGGTCAGGAAGCAAGCCGGACGCGCCCAAATAAGACTTCTTAATTAATTGGCCATTTATACGCGGGCGGATCGAACGTCTCGCCCGGGTCCGTCCCGGAGTCGGGGGGGCCGCGGCAGGGCCGGGCGGGGGTGGGGGTTAAAATACCACCTCCCCGCTGAACACACACACTCCAGGCGGGGCCAGCCGTGTCTCCAGGACTCACACCCGCTCCCCTCCTAAGGTCCAGCTGGGCGCCTGCCTGTAGGCTCGCCCGTGGGCCCGGGGGCCGAAGGGGAGAGGTGTGTGGGCGAGTGACGGGTGTCCGTAACGGCCAGTGCGGCACGCACCAGGTGATGACGGGGCCCTTGCCCGCCCCGCGCCCCGCCGCGCCCCGCCCCACCTCAGCCAGCACGCCCCAAAACCGAACCGTCCGACCGACAGACGCAAGGTGCAGAAAGGACCACCAACCACACGTCGTAACGGCCGTCCTGGCGGCGCGGGCGGCGGCGGGGAGCCGGCGGCCCGGAGGCGGAGGAGGGCATGATGAGAGGGCGAAACCCGCGTGGACCACCTACAGTTCCTTCCTCTGCGGCCCCGGCACCCCCGGCCCCGCGACCCGCCCGGCACCACCCGGGCGCAGACCGCCCCTCGCGGCGCTGTTGCGCCAACACGGCGACTCACTCGCGCGCGCGGGAAAAGCAGAGAGAGCAACTAGGTCGTGGGCGTTTAAAGATCCCCTTTGTCATTGGCTGGCAACGCTGGTCGGCGTTGGCGGGGCAGGGCGGGGCGCGGGGCGGCGTGTGCGGATCGCATCGTAGTACGAGGAAAACGTCTCCAGGTGTGCGCTTGCTTCGCTACCTGCCGGGCTTCTTTAAAGAGCAAACCTGCGCATGCCTTGCTTCACCTTCCACACCCGAGGCCCCGAGGCTCCACCTGGCCGGCGCGCGGCGGGGCGGGGCGCGGCGCGGGGGCACGGCGGGGGCCTCCTCTAAGGCGAGGGGGGCGCTGGGGGGCGAGCACAACGACGGCGACCTGGCCTGCCTGTGGCCCGCCCCGGGCCGGCACAGGCGGAAACCCAATCCAGGTGCGGCAGCAGCGCGCCCGGCCTCTAGCCCGGCCTGGCCCGGCACCTGGCCTCGCTGTAAGATGATGGTGCGGTGGTTGTAGGCGGCAAAGCCCGCCCGGCCGCTGGCCCCCGCCGACACAAAGGGGACTTTTAAATCTTAAATTCTTTTACTTCGCTGAATAAG